GTTTTGATTAAAAAAAACATGTGCTAAACATACAAATAAAAAGAATCTTATAAAAAAAGTAGTTATGATATGCATGAAACAGGTAGGCTAGTTACTGACAATTATGTTGCATTTAGACTGAAATGCTAAATTAGATAAAGAAAGTTCATAATTCACAGTAGTCTATTAAAACATCCTTTAAGAAAGTTAAATTGTATATGACTTTAAGGAGTTTGATTCCTACTCTCATACATGTAGGGGAGGATGCACACATTATGGACAAACAGCTAAACGTAGACAACAAAGCTAAGAGGATGAACAAAATAATATACTTTTAAGTAAGGGCAAGGGGGTACAATAGTGAAAAGGTTGAAGCGATACTTAGATAATGTACTTAAGTAAAAGTGCAACGGAGGTTGAACATTTCTGTCTGTTGCATTTTGGACCAACATTTACACAATGTCACAAAGTCAGTGATATAAAGTAAACAGAGAGAAACGTTTCACCTCACCTGATCAATGTGGAAAAGCCTTCTAGTGTCCAACTGTGCTGTAAATCACCCTGTACACCACGAACATGCAACGGCAGTAACAAGCAAAACATGTTTGAATGTGGTCAAAATGTCCCATATTTTGCTTGTAGCCTTTACATGCCTTGTCATGTCAAAACTGGAGAAGTAGACACGCATTTCTGGGGATCACACAAACCTTTCAAATGTGAGCATAAGGAACCCTTCAGATGCTTTGGTAGCAGTTATGATAATTTGATCTGCTAACAAGTAAAACACATTGACTTGCTGATGTGTATTAATTGTATATCAAATAATATTATGGTGCCCAAGAAAGATCCATGCGCTTTTACGGGATCCACATGTCAGCTGGAGAGCACATCATATCCCACTCTGACAGCAGGCCAAGTTGTGAGATTTTCCAGTCAAACTGTTGCAATAAACTGCCCATTAATGGAGGAGCTCCGATTCTGCGCTGGTGCCAGATGCTGAGTGTGCGACCCCGTGTGCAGATTGCATCTCTCTGCTCTCTTGTTTCCTCATCCAGCTCCCTGTCCCGGCTCCCCATCACAGTCTGTCCACGTCTCTGGCACAGAAATGGGCCTCTCCTGCTTGGCACAAGGCCTGGAAACAGATACTGGCTGTTCTGTATTTTTATTTATTTATCCTTTATTTAGCCAGGAACGTCCCATTGAGACCTCTTCTTCTCTATACGGGTCCTTTGAGCACAGTGGAGCCCACCAAGACCTCCAGGCACACTCAGTACCTAGATGCATAGATGGTGAAAGCATTCAGAGCCTTTTCTTAAATAAAAGAAGAATTACCACAATGTAAAAAATACATTTATGTGAAATGTTATTCTTGTCCCGTGATACTTTAATGCTTTAGTTGGTTGAGGTGAAGCTGATCCAAATAATAAAGATACTTTCTAAACTTGTCATCTGTTTTGAATAAAATAATCTTCACTTGTAAAGTAGAAATTTCCCCTCTTAACTGTTTGCAGCAAAACTACACCCAAATATTCAGGATTTTTTCAGTGTTTATTTTTTTTTTTTTTACAATAGAACTGAACTGGTTCTTTAGTACAATACTTACTTGTTTCCCTGACACATCCATATTGCATGAAAATTACTAATTGTCAAATAACTGTGGTGAAGTATAATGAATATAATTAGTACAATATCACAATTATGAGTTCCTCAAAACTGTAGGCCTTAACTAAAGGACGTAAGTAAATTAACTTATTTATAATGTATACTTAACCAGTGCCGTATAGTAATTTGTAACTGCTACCACATCATCAGGGTAAACTAAGCAGCACTACCTTGAATATCAAATCAATCAATGCAATAATGTTGAAATAGATGTATCTAAAACACACAGCCTCCCAGGTGTGAGCTGCAGTGCACCGAGTCCCTCCTCGGCCGATGGTGATTTCTCCATGCGAGGAGGACATGGAGAAACTTTAGACTGAGGAACTACGGCTCGTTGCAACACGACTGAAGAGTCCGCAGTAATGGTTACGGTCAAGACATACTGTCTGGACAGCAGCTGGTTTCCCAATAAAAGGAGAATGCTTTCCACATCTAGATAAAATAATGAAAACTGCCACATTCGCTTACAACATGTCTGTCCTTGAACTGAATGTGGCTGCAATAAAACAGACCATGAAAGAGCAAAAGCTTGATGAAATAGTTTATAGTTATGAAATGGTACCAGTCTTTTAAATGACATCTTTGGGGAACACTTACTATGCAGATTAACATATTGGATTTGCCTGTTTTTTAAACTGTTGCTTAAAACTTAACCTAAATATGGATTTTTGTTGTTAATTAAATCAACAATAATGGAAATATGATATTGCCAGTGTTTATATGCATTACCCTATGGTGAAGGCATGAATTCACATCAATAGTGTATGACATTCACCTGGAATTTAGACAAATTGGGTCAAACCTAACTTGAGCATATAGCAATCCTTCATGTTTCCAATCATATATAGGAATATAGCTTTTTATAGAACACATTTGAGACATTTGGGAACTATCTAAACTTTATTTGACAGGGGTTAATATGACCAACCGAAGGACAGTAAGTGGGTCAATGTTGAGATTTAACAGCAGCTGGATCTCTGCTGCCACCTGCTGTCCAGAAACTGCAACAGTAAGGCAAGGCAAGGCAAGTTTATTTATTTAGCACCTTTCAACACAAGGCAATTCAAAGTGTTGTCGCTAGTAGGGAACTTCACTTTAATTTTTTGGCACACGATTTTATAGTTTCATTCAAGAAGCAGTCTAAGTCTAAGCCAGTCCAAGCTTTGTATGGACACTTCAGTTTAATACAACAAAAATAGTTCAAACTATTTATTAATATTGTATTTTTCCGCATGTTTTTTATTACAATAAAATCCCAATTTTTGAACACCCTCTGCCTCTGGACTCTTGGTTATTTCATTGGGGGAAAATAAAATAGTAGAAACCTCTGGGAGAGCATCATACTGGATTATGGACGGATACAAACTTTCATACAGCTGCAATGATTCTTCAAAACATCAGTTTGTTGATGACATAAAAATAACTATATTGATCAATGATTCATTGTAAGCGTATTTTTTGTGAGTATTATTCCTCGAAATGAAATGGTTTGGGGTTATCAAAGTTAAGAATGTATTACTTTTAATGCTCTTGGATTATAGTAAATGTAACATGTTTGGAGTTTGGACTGTTAAACAAGACATTTGATGATATCACCTTGGTTTATATGTTATTGTGATGGGCATTGTTCTCTGGTTTTTCGTTGAACAATGTCATGATACCATAATTTCAATTTAGAGAAAAAAACCGTCATGTAGGTGAACAACATGCGAATAGTGTGTAGAATATAAAGTGAGTATCCACTAGGTGGCGCTTTTGGCCCATCTATAAATTAGTGAGGCCTGGCAATTGGAATTATATGGGTGAACCATAGACTAGGGTGAACTCTATTTTAAAATTGTAAGTTTATATATGCAGGAAATCTCAATATGAATATGGAACAAATATTGCAAGTTTGACAAAATATGTCATTTCCTTGTCCTTTATTTCAGACTGATATTACATTTCATAATCACGTGGCACAGATTATTGTTGAGTGGATCTGTTTTGACACAGGCTTAGATTTTCTTCATTTCAGCAAATGCACTCTGCTCAGTGGTTTATTCGAGGGTCTGCCCACAGCGCCTTAAATCCTATCCACTTACATCCGATCAATAACACTATTCCATTTATACAGCCATGACATCATATGAAGCCTGTGAGTGTTACTCTTGTTGAATTCCTGGCAACTTTGGATAAAACAAGAGCATATTATTGAATTCTGACTCATATGTTTCTGTCGGCTGATCGAAAGCTTTTTATTATTTCTTTTTCTCATGGGAAAAGGAAATCCCAGCGAAGTGGTCGAAGCTTTTTTTGGTGAAGCGGGAGGAGATGGAGGACGGAGTACGGCCTTTTGAGAAGCAACCACAGGATGCACACAGAGCCATTGTCTCATCAGGCTTAGTATGCAGCTCACTTTGCTCCATCACCAGGGCCAAGGCTCAAATCAATTCAATATGGTGGCTGGAGGGGGACAGTCACACAGTGGGTGTAGCCCACATACAAATACATCCAACACTGGTCTAGACATGGGACACAGTACAGTGGTGGATGTTGTTTCCCACGCTGCTATGTCACCACTCTGTGTCGCAGACATTTGGTGAATGTGTAACTACCTAAGCTGGTTTGGTATGACTGATATTTGTGAAACCATGACAAGCAAAGTCAAGCCAGAAATGTGTGCTTTTGAAATATGCACCGTGGAAATTTGTTTCTTGATACTTGCAGCATGTTAATACAGTTTCTGTGACTGTAGAGTGAAGATTGAGGAATGTGTGAGGCTCTCGCTGTGAATGACAACCCTCCAATATGACCTTGATATGAGATCCAGGGCTGCAGTCTCAGACACTGAGGCATGGACACGTTGGCCTGATAAGGGCTGGCACTCACCTTGTCATCTATCTCTGTGCGGGTGTGTATTTATGTATGCTGCGGGCCAGAGGGAGATAAAATACTGAAACCATCATCTGTTGCCATATGAATCACGTTGAAGCGCAGGAGGTGAGATTGTGCCACCGCTATCTTTCCATCTGCTCCGCCGGCTGATCCCGGGGGGGGGGGGGGGTGAAGGCAGACACGTCCTGGTTTTTCCAGAGATATTTCAAAAACATTTCGCCACCATTCAACACAATGATAATGATGATCTAGTGATCTAGTAGACTCAATAAACTAAACTGGAGCAACTGGGGATTTAAAAAAAATTGTTAGTTAATGCAAGAACTACTTCAATATATACTATATGTTTTCACAGACTATGATTTGGAAATGCTTGAACAAATGTATTTAACTGGAAAAGCCTCAAAGTGTGATACAATTGAATAGACAGTATCAGGATGTGAGAACAAATAAACACACGTAAATAAACGACAAAGACAAACTACTTCATGTTATGCTTTATTAATATTTGAAGCAGCAAAAAACAACACAAATACAAATGTCATAGAGATCAGACTTTACCTGCTCACCATTCCTGCTTGACTGCTGGGTCAGTGTTTTTCTGCAGCTGTGAACAAGCCTCTCTCTGTAGACTGTATGGTGAAGTATTGCTGCCCTTCAGGGAAGGCGGTAGGTTGTACAGTTATCTCCTTATTGGGCAAAATCACTACCCTGAAACCACACAACCTACTACCTCACCCTGTTCGAACATCAGAACGGTGCCGCAGACTGCCAAGTGTTGGTCCAACTTCCACTGGAGAGCCATGATGTGGAGGCACATGGAAACACTGTACATTTTCTTTTAGTACATACAAAAATCCAGGTACATCTCACACACTTGATATATAAAGCAACTTACAATGAGAGGCAATGACCAAGTTGAGTTTTCATTTTTAAAACTTTACATGAGGGATACATTCTCGGGGAAAGAGGAAGACACCTAGATAAGAGCAGGTTTGTGTAAAAGTTACAACACTACAGTGTGAGAAAATGTAAATACATATTTATTTTTGCATTGTTTATTTGCACACAGACAACCATAACTTCTGAAAAAAGCACATTTCATTTGCCATAATGTCTTGAGAAAACATGAACTACAATCCTTAATGAGCTACCACTTTTAAATACTGTATTGGAATTCTGTGTTCAGCAGTCAGCGGGTCCACATGCTCATACCAGGGTGGATCCAGGTTCAAAGGCTCCAACAATGGCATCTGATGACATTACAGCCACTTCAGGAAAGACAGTAAGTTGTATAGTTATCTGACAGGAAGGGTATGACCCTAAAACTATACAACCTACTACCTCACCCCAAAGGACAGTCTTTAACAACAAAGTCATGGCAGGTCCCCGCTTGGCCACACCTCGATGAATGCAAAACAGCGGTTATGATTCACTGAAACACAAACACTCATGGCCTTTCCTCACCGCTGTGAATGCAGTCTGTGTGTTCAGAACACAGTGTGACGACCGGGTCATCCGGTTCAGGGCTGCAGCTTAAGGGGAATTCAAATTATGCAACAAGGTGCATATGATCCAAACAAATTGTATGGGTGGGATATTTCCATATTCAAATGAGCCCAGCAAATCACTTGGAGGGTACTGTGACATTGAAAACATGCAAAGTAATATAAAGTTTTATCCACTTCAGATCTTATCAAAAAAATATTATAATAAATAATCTGCGATTGAAAAATCCCTCTTTGGTTGAACTGCTTGCAATTTATACATCTCACGTGCAACCTGTGGCTTGGGGTTGCGATTAGCAAATACTTAGATTTAAAGGGGTCACACGCCAAAAGGATTGGAAACACTGTTCTTAAGCTTTACTGCTCAAAACATACCAAACCAAACCGGTTTGTTTCGTACAACAACCTGCACACATTCCTCGGTGTTATAAGAACTGTTTGTGTGCTTCAGAGAGGAGAGTGCTACCAACAGTGACCAGTATTGACAGCCTGCTAGCTCATATCCTGGCTCACATGTGCGGAGCAGAGGACCTGCTGCCCTGTTAATGTTTCTCACCTGCTCTGCAGCACATCCTCCCATCAGGGATCCAGCAGCATGTCAGGTAGCCTCCGTCTGAAATCCCGAGAGGGAAAATCTGCTACTTCTGCAACAAAGGAAATGGAGAAATACATCAACGAGAAGTCTTCAAGATTTGCCCTCTGTGAGATCAATGGTAAGCCCCCCGGTGGCTGACGGAGTGTCTCTGATTCTCCATCCTGCATGTTTAACCGTCACACTCAAATGAAGCCATATCAGGGTAATCTTTTTCAGCACGTACCGCCACAGATATACTTGTATGTCTGTGAGGCACAAATGTACAGCACAGCATAATACAGAACAGTATGTCTTGAGCTAAGAGCCCATTGTGCCTGCTCAGTGGTGAGTCTGAGGCTCTTTGCATTATTCAACACTGCCGTACTTACACCATATCACTGAATGAGTGGATTGTAAGTATGCACAAGCACACACCCTGGAAGGTAACACACACACACACACACACACACACACACACACACACACACACACACACACACACACACACACGCTTCGCAGAAGGACAGATGCATTATGGCAGTGTGCAAACATACACAAATACACATATACAGCAATGACAGGAAGAAAAGGGGAACATTTACTTACATAGATTTAATTTATGTTAAAAGTCAACATATATTTAACTGTTTTTTTGGTGACATTATTAAAAGGGGGGAGCCTAACATAACTGTTTTGCAAAGAGCCCCCCTTTTAGTTGACTGATTAGTCATTTGGTATTCATTTTAGTCAATTGTTTATTTTAATAAATGCTTTTTTTCAAGCCAAAATACTTATACCAATAAAACTCTAAAAAAAACAGATTTTACGTGGCACCCTTTCCACATTTTTTGATATGATACATTTGACTGATCTGTTCATGCAATCAACTAAACTACCATTTAACAAAATCCAGTGTTAGTCGACTAAGAGTTTCTTTAGGTTAGTACATCCCTAGTTTTGCAGAAAGCTTAAATCTAAATGAAGTTGCTTTACTGTGTTTTTACGGTAACTAAATATAAAAAACGGTCTGCATCGCGTACTGCCGTTCCTATCACAGTCTATTCTCACCGTGCACCCTGCTAAACGCTCGGCAGTGTTTCAGACTTCATAAGGTAAGGTCAAGGAAGACACAGTGTCCTCTCAGTATGCTGACTAGACATACTTCAATCTAATATAGTAGATGGCTCTGGGGCCCTGAGCAACAGAGTGCATGTCCAGGAAAGCTATTGCTTTCAAGTGAAGCCAGGTGCCATCATCCAGTGACAGGAAGATATTCACACTCGCACCCACGCACACACCCACCGCAGAGCAGCAATATGCAATGTAAGCACACACACATACATGTAGCCTGTTGTACACTTCTTTAGGGCTCTTCACACAGATATGGAAAAAAATAAAACACCTACACTACGATGAGTTTGTCCGCCTGACAATGCAGCCTTTGTGAAAGTACGAGCTCAGCAAGCACCGCTTCACTTGAAAGGTGCGAAGAGTCTGTAGCTGATACTCTGTTTATAAGCCAGGACCTTCTGCAAAGTCCTGCTTTCTACACCTCACTTCATAATGTCACCCAAACACGTATTTAAACTGTCATCACATAAACAAATGCATACACATACACAAGGACACAGTTTCAGGCTCAAACACCAACATTTTCACACAATCATGGAAAAAATACCCTTCAGAGGGAAAAGGAAAAACATGATATTCATTTACCTCATCACATTTTCCCACAGCGTTCACAGCAAAGGCACACACTGCTTAAAAAGCCACTTTAATTCAATCACACTTCACTCTAAGTGCTACAGTGCCTATCAATCAATACTGGAGCCGAGTCTCACTCACTGATAGTGGGATGGAGTGCTGTAACCTTGTTGACTGATCTTTGGGGTTTTGGTGGTTTGTGGTCAGTCAATACGGCGAGTAATCCGGAACAATAAGCTGGACATTTACACAATATGCATCCCCGATCCTCATTCATATTTTCTGACGATTTCTACTCTTCCAATTCTTAGAACATATTACAATGCAGATATTATGCACACTGTCATGATGACAAATCTCGCACGATGGGCAGTGTGCAATTTGTCTGTGTATGAACTCTACAGTATGTATGCGCTACGATATATTGCATTTCTTTACCATTTCTTATTTGGTATCTCTTTTGTGAGAGAATCCTGGCGAATTACTGTCATTGTGCAAATCTACTGACTTTTTGCAAAGCCCAAGACCCTTCAATTGAGCTACATATCAAACATCAAAACCTTTTAGGTAGAAATGTGTATGTTGGCATCTAAATGCTTACTTGTCTGTTTCACTTATTTCCTTATGAAAACATTTATTGATTTATATAAGCGTCACTAAATGTAGTCTATTTTATAAGGGGTATTGTTAGGATGTTGTAAAAACACATGCTTATATTCCTGAGGATACTCATATGTACTAGTAACAAAATACAGGTTTTATTGGCACTAATATGGAAACAATTTAATGAAACCTCGACATTGAACTTGGTAAGTTTAAAAAAAAGTCTCTCTTCATCGACCCTCCGCAGCATGGCCTTTTGGCACCGCACGATTATATGAGTGCTTATGGTTTTGTTGCAGTATGCTATTGCACAGTATTTATGCTCATTAGTTCCTGTGTTTATACGCGTGTGGCTTCCCCTCTATCAGGGAAGTGGTCGGGAACACTGAGACGCCTGTGTGCATGTGTCCCTCTCCGGTCTGTAAACATCTATATGTGATCGCCGGTACAGTACGAGTGAAGTGGTGTCCGGGTGCAGACAGGAGGAATTCAGAGAGACACGGTGGAGCACTTATAAAAGGGATGCATAGCTTCTGTGCCCCCCAACAGCCCCCTCTGGGTAGCGCAGCAGGCATGACCCATCTATTTATACCAGAGCCAGGGGGGAGGCAGCGGGAGGGCAGGGGCGAGGATAGGCTGCATTGGCAGGTCCTGTTACACATGCCAGGGGGGATGGCTGGGGCAAGCCGCAGGGAGACTCTGCTCAAAGTCAGACAGGCTGACCTCCCCGTCACCTCTGCATGAGGCCGATATCCAGCTCGCAAAATGTGTGAGTGTGTGTGTGGAGAGAGAGAGACAGTTTAGGAGTGTCATATATGACGGTGCGTGAATGTACAGTATGTGCCTGCACAGTGGAGCTACAGGTATGCGTTTGTGTATGCACGGTGTTAGTGTGTGTGGATAAACCTATGTACACATGTGTGATGGAGTGTACGCCTGCAATGTGCATAATATGTGTGTCCGCCTGTCAGGCTGTGAGACGAAACGGCCCCAGTGACTCCCCCCCCCCCTCTCCATCTCCCAGCACAGCCATAAACATACCAGGTGAAGAGGGCTGGATTAGGCGGAGTTAGCTGATCCTAGAGCAGCCCCCTGGCCCCATCTTTAGAGGTAAAAAATGACCCCAATGATTGTAATGACAGGGCACGCATCAGCCCGACTTCGCCAGCTGCTTCTCGTCTCTCACACACGCAGTATACAGTCACGTGTACATAGGGAAACATACACACACTTGCATGCATGTTTGGACATATACACAGATTGTGATATGCTCATGTGAAGATTCAGAGGCTCAGACGTTGTGACTCCACGCTGATGGAGGCTGATGAAACGTGCATTGCCATGTGTCTGCTGATGACCTGTTGGGCCCCCATCTATTAGGAGGAGTCTTTAGCCCCCACACGTCTGCATGCCCAGCTCTGGTCCGGCCTGCCTGTAGGGCCCCTTCAGTTTGGGCAGTGCCCCATCGAGCTGCATCTGTCGACAGCTATATTTAGAGGGTGGGACAAATACCTTTCTCCCTGCATATGAACCTCAGCTGACAGACAGAGGGCCAGAGTCGGCAGACAGGGTTCTGTGCGTTTGTAACCTTGAAGAACTCGTTACCCCCGAGCTGCAGCTGGCAGTAGTCAGACTCACTACAGTGGTGAGCAGTCACAGCTAACAGCTAAGGCTGTAAATACAGCACAGTTAACCACAGTTAGCATCGAAGAGCTTGATTTGGCAGCCGTTATTACCGCCAGTTCCTATAGTTCCAGGACTGCTGCCAACACGAAGGAGAATATATAGCAATGTACTCTGATAAAGAGATTTAATAATTCTCCTTATGTGTGCTATAAAAGAACACATTTCTGTGGATGTGAATCCCCTTCAAATAGACCTACATTTCTGCCTATAAGCATGTGTACGTGTGTGGCACTGCCAGCGAGGCAGCCAGTGTGTGATATGTGACCATGTTGCATGGCCATCTGCTCTATATAACCATAAACAAACGCAGGCAGGCCAGCCTCACAGTACCATTTCCAAGAGGTCTAGGCCGAGTAAATGTATTCATGCTTTAGTCTCTGGGTAGATGCTGTGGAGATATGCCCCAGAAACAGACCACGGTTATGCAATAGCATTCATAATTCATTCCACAAACACAATATGGAGGCCACTCTGTCCCATATGCAAACACATGGCCAGATTAAGGGCTTTGGAGCCAAAGGGGAGTGCATTCTGAACTCTAAGCAAAGCCGTTGACTGTATGTCTGTCTCAATGAAGCTCGTCTGTGACAGGCCTAAATAGGCCAGGTCGTACTGCTGGAGGGAACTCTGCTATACTTTGCACCTACAGTCTAAATCAGGAACATGCCAACAAAGATACACACTCATACAGTAGCAGACTTTTCACAGCATCACTTTCAGGCCATTAAAAGATACTAATATCCAGATATACTACACTCTTTTACCCCTTATTGACAAAGTGTTTCTGTACATTGAAGACAGCCACACGAAGAAGTCTTCTATATTCCTTAAAAGGAAAACTCAAAGTCTTTGAAGAGGTTGGCACACTGGTCACCTTACCTGTTAAGTTTAAAAAGAAGTGTGTCCCAGTAAGCTAGTCTGCACATGTACGTACAGTAAGAAAGAGGGTCATTCTATCAATTGTATGAATTGTTGGATAATGGAATAACAGAAGAATAATGCTTTTTTTTTTAAACTTCAAAAAGTGAATTGGGTAACATCAGTTATATTGAGATAATGATATACTTTTGATGGAGTCGAAATTACGATAATTACAAAAGCTTTTTTCCCAATTATCTTCCGTTACGTTACTAAACACAGTGTAAGCGGAAACACAGGATGATTATGTGTGACTTTTTAAGGTATGCTTAGCAATAGGACTTTATCCCAGCAGACATTTGATTTGTCAAAAACTAAGGTTTTACTAATACAACGGAGAATGGTGTGTTTTACAGTAAGAGTGACTGAACAAGCATGCATAATACCAGATCCTGAAACCAGTCAATCTGAATATTACATTAATTGCAATATTATAATGATATAATGTTTTTCCTACAGGTCCAAATGTGCTCTGTGAAGAAAGCCTTTAAAGCAGCAGCAGTCACCTACTGAAAGCTCGATTTAGTATTCGTGGTGCTGGGGTCAGATGAGAAGAGGATTTAATAACATCTGCACAAGTAATCAAATATCCAGAGCCGCAGGCAGCTAGCTGCTGTAGCTGCAGGCTGTGGGGTGGGGCCGGGGTTACAAGTGCATGTGACAGTTGGGCTGAAGCTACAGCGAGTAGTGTGCTGTGGTTAGGCTCGAAACAGGTACATAAGTAGAGGTTAAAGCTTTAGTCATGCACTCGGGCTGCAAAGTATTAAAAGGAGAAGTACTTATATCTTGTACTTAAGTCAAAGTAGTAATACCACAATGTAGGAACATTCTGTATGTAGGAAGTCGTGTATTCAAAATGTTACTCAAGTAAAAGTTACAAAATAATTGGTCTCTAAATATACTTAAAGTAACAACAGTAAAAGTACTCATAATGCAGATTGGCCCATTTCATGTCATATACTGTACATTATATGTTTTGATTATAATTATTGATGAATTATACGTATATCAATCTGGTGCAGGTCAAACTCATTTAATTACTGAATGTACTCCTGGGTAGCAAGTGAATTTAATCAATGCGTGACTAAAGTGTTGATCGTATTGTTTATCATTCATCTGCAAATTTACTAAAGGCACTTAATAAGTAGAGGAATAAAAGTACAATATTTACCTCTGAATTGAGGTGGAGTAGAAATACAAAGTAGCAAAAAAAAAAGTACCTCAAAATTGTACTCAAGTACAGTATATGAGTAAATGTACTTAGTTACTTTAGACCCCTGTATAAGCGTGCAGGTTGTGTTACCGCTGAGGACTCTGGGTAACTGTGGAGCAGAGACGGATGGAGGGTGGAAGGGGGTCATGCAGCTGTGGACCCTGCCAGCACATTCGGCCCCGGGTGGAAAAAGAAAAACGTTTATGGCGTCCACCCAAGGTCAGCCCTTTGAGAAGAAGAGCTGGGAACGTTCCGGAGGGGAGGCTGCTTGTTTGCATGCAACAATAAATAAATAAAATCACTCTCTTCATCCGAAAAAGACATATATAGTGTTCTATCATAGTCATCTTTTCTTCAATTCCTCTCTGTTTATTTTAATTTCCTCCATAACCCAGCACCCCCTTTTTCTCCCCCACTTTACTCTGCCTCTCTCATCCTGCTACCTGACTATTTTGGCAGCGAAACACAAAATGGCGGCGGGGAGCTGAGAGCTGGAAGGCAGAGAGAGTGGAAGCCATTTTCTAACAGATCCAGACCCCAGCACACAGAGAGAGAGAGTCAGGACGTAATGTCAAGTGGACAGTAAAGATTAGTGTTGTCTGTACATGTGCACTAAAGATACGTTTGATTTTGTTTTTAATTTAGCACACTAACAAGCCATCGGGACCAATTGGCCTTTCATATCAGATATAGACAGAATACAGCCATTATGATTCAATCTAATGCATGATCATATTATAATAAGTCTCAGGAAGGGGAGTAAAATAGATTAAGTCCAAGTCAAACATCTAACAAATGATTTATAATGAGAGCTTCTATCTTATCAAATGAAATGCAGGACAATACAAGCTCATTACAATATATCCTCAAATAACAAAATATTACATTTACAAAAGGTACTTACGATGCTGCTACGATAGCCGGTCTGCCTGTCCGTGATTTCACTTGTTGGCCACATTTTCTTGCGCCTGAGGCTGAAGTCAAAACCCATCTCACTGCCTGCAGGAGACACAGAGAGAAAGACAGACAGGGAGTGAGAACTGTATAGTCGAAGGGAGAGACAATTCACAGCGAGGACACAAAAACGGCATGAACAGGGATTGATGAGTTTCCGCAGAAGCAGAGGTCTGTAGGGCTCCTCTCTGTAGGCTGTTTACTAATAAGCTTGCCCCACGGTGTTGCCTGGCCAAGGAAACTCATTAGTGCAACATGTAACACACCGCACCCTCTCTGCTGGCCTGCACACCAGCCAACTCTCCCTGCCACATGCTCACCCAACACCAACACACAAGCTCCACCGTGGTCTTGGCCTTGCCTCGTAGCACCCACTCGCTGCATACGTGCACACTCGTTGGCATGCTGTATTCCTGAAAGCCCACAGTGTCATGTGCGTGGGTGAAGTGACTGATGCGTGTACTTGTGAGCATGAAAGGTGATTTTCCTGAACATGCAGCACAGTATGTTCGTCTTCACACATGTACAGGCTGCGCAGCGTTAATGTAAGAGGCAGCTTTTGACACCAGCCCGCGTTATCCTGCGCATACGTAGGCGTGTGATGCCAGGGCCGTCGTGTGGAGGTGAAATGGGACAAAGGAAAACAGAGGCATTTAGTCATCATTAGTCGAGTCTCAGATTGCAGTAAAATCAGAGGGCGATCGAGATAAAGGGACTTAAGGTTGCCCTCTATCAGACCAAGGAGGACACATGCAATTTAAAGCCTCCACTCAGTGTGGCGGCGGCTGCTGAAGGGTGATAATTCTGTACAAGTATGCTAATTGCAGCGCAGGACACAGCATTGCAGGGGAAGGGTCTTTTATATATTGTTTCTAACGTTTGTAATTACAGTGCAGTGCCTTGGACCGCTGCCAGCACATGTTTATGGGCTCATGAGTAACCCAACTCCTCCAGCCCATGGAGGGAGATTCATGCCCGAGCTGTGCACTCGCTGCCCTCTGTGAGTGAGTGTGTGTGTGTTGTTTGTGTATATGCATGTTCATGACTCATATCGACTGGGAAAGTATGTGCAGAGGGGTTAGACTACAGTAGATTAGTATAAGCCACACGGATAGCTGCAAGCATTGCACGAAAACACAGAGTGAAGATTCCTTGTAATGATCCCTATGACAATATGCCCTTTTCATACAGTATTTAAAACTGAAGTTAGAAGTACACTGTTAAATCAGGTGAGTTGATTTTAAATCTAGAAGCTTTTGCTCACTTTATCATTACAAAGCAGTTTGTACAAGGAAACCTAAATAAAGAATATTGCTGTTTAATTTAACAGTACAAATCATACTAAAAAAGACATACTATGGTTAATATAGTTAACTAACAAATTAATGTAAACGAAAATCAAATCGTATAGTTTTTTTAGTTTTCCGTACCAAAATGAGTAAGACAAAAGACAGCTGGAGCCAGTATATAACTAAATGTAACCAACATAATTGCTCAGTGCTGATAAACAGTAAGTAAGTGCTGAAGTGGAGGTGAGGTGAGGGAAGGGATTTACAGTATTTTCATAGTTTGAGAGTCGCAGGCGATGCTTTTCAACACTTCCAACTCTACCTCCAAGTAGAACAATTTAGCTGATTCTGCAGTTTTTCTCTGACTAAATTGCCTTGGCGACAGCAGAGGCCAAAAGCTGGAGAAATATATGAGCGTTGGAAAAGAAAAGGTTGAGTGGGCTCAGCTCAGCGTTATCTGGAATATCGCTTTGCCTGGCAGGTACATAAAACAAGTATCTATCCCCACAATGTGTGTTGAGAGACTCGGACGAGATGCAAAGCCTCTCAAACACACACACACACACGGAATCCATCGAGTGGTCAGAAACAAAGAAAACTTCAAATGTATTTTCTAAATATCAATCTGGCTGGGGGAAATAAATCAGGCTGTCATAATGAAGTAGTTTAAAGGTTTATAAATCAATAGCAAGTGTGTAAGAAAATTGCCCTTGGGTAAATACATTCAGGGGAAAAATGTGAAGGTGAAACATTCACAGGTCTCTTTTCCTCTGGAGAAAAAGAGGGGAGAGAGAAAAAGAAAAAGTCATCTGTCACCCCCCAAAACTCTTCACCGGTCCAGTATTATGTCATTATGACTGTTCTCACCGTCTCTGTGGACTTGCTGTGGTTTTGTGGATAAATTACATGTGACGCTCCCAGCAGACATCCTGATTAACACAGGGAGAATAAAATGGCCCCCAATCCTCAGTAGTCAAAGGGGTAATGGACTAATGGCTTCCATGTATGGCGAGAGAAGCGAGGAAAAGCAGGTTAGGTGTGTATGAGTGTAATGTGTGTGTGAGTGCATCAGCACACTTGTCTTTAATTACTTTGTTGATTGAGCCCTGAACTTTGGGCTTTCGTGACATTATTTTTGGCACGTTTGGCATACCAAAAAGTGAACAGTACGTGTGTGTGTGTGTGTGTGTGTGTGTGTGTGTGTGTGTGTGTGTGTGTGTGTGTGTGTGTGTGTCTATTGGGGTCTCGGACCTCTTTGTCCAGCTTTCTTTTCAGGTCTGGCCTACTTTCTACTGTACTGTAGTGCTGATTCTGTGTGATAACCTGTAGTGGCCACTGTAGATCCACCCCTCTTCTCTCAGGCTACAGGAGGGCAACAGCTTGGCCAGCAGCTGCCACACAGAGCCCATCTGACTGCACTGCACTCACCTCGAGGAGATTTCCACAGCTTTTCCACACAACTAACTAATTAAAGCGTAAAGAAGATGTTCCTATGATTGACACAAGCACTTTAAAATATAGGCGCCTCTCAAGTTTTTGCAGAAAGATCCATGACCTTCTTAAGTGCTAGTTTGCCACTGTGGGAAATGTAAATCCAGCTCAATTTCCACAAGCATTGACCTGCTTGTGCTAACATGCTGCATAGTGTCAGTTACTTTGCACCTCTGCTTATAGTCTGTCAGTAAGAATGCTTGACCTCGGGACTGCAAAGTCATCATATTTATACCTCCATATAAACATCATTTTGTATTCACATATATATTATTTGCATAATATGCCATTTTTCTAATTTCAACTAAATTTATTTTTATGAATACGTTATCAAGTATTAATTGAATTCAATTGGAAAAATTAGGAATTGTAAAATGTGAATTTAACTTTTTGAAAGGGGGTCAGAAACGGCTCATTTCTGTCAAGTAAAACAAATGTTGTTCTTCAAATCTATTAATAGTGAATATATATATATATATATATAGTAAGCAATATTTAGATATTGTATCATTTTTGATTCAATACAGAACATAGATGTATAATGTCAACATCAAAATCCTCTTAGTCATGGCGTAGACAGTACTAACCCTGACCCTAACCCTGACAGTCCTCCAGAGAGCTCAGACATACAATATAACTTTACGTATGCTGAACTTCTCAGTTTTCATTGTACTTAAAACAGCACACTGAAACCGTTTTAGCAGGAGAAATAAAAAAGGGTTCATTATTACAGTAGAAAAAAATGCAGTGAATTCTCCCCCATTCCTCACTCCAATCTGGGTTTCATATTAGCCAGGAGGAAATTGGATGAAATTCACGACATCACAGCAATGAAACAAAATCACATAATGTTAAATACCAATGTATCCACTTAACAAAGTAGGCAGTGTATTGGTGGCTTCTTTGCTGTGTGTGATGCACATGGTGAGTGACTCATTTTCACTGTGTGTTGCACTCTTAAGAATACACTGAGCACTGGCACATGACCGAAACCACACACTCCACAAGTATCTGGCAGAAATACTCAGATCTGGAGACAGAGAGTAGTCTCTACAGTGCTGCTGCAAACAAAACCATCAGAATCTACAAAAAATGAAAAAGTGAGCTAGCAATCAAAACATATCACTTATTCCAACTTACATTACACAATGAAGCAATAACACTACACCCCTGACACATATTCTTCCCATCAGTCAATTCCCTGTATGATGTTGTGTGAAATAAGAGTTTGAATATGAAGTTTGCTTCACTCAGACATGTGGCAATGCCTCAGGCTGCCAGTTTGTGACTCTATTTCCTTATGTAAATTATTATATATTTTAAAGCTCATAACATTATTGAGAATGACAAATAATGCATTTTTTTTTGTTGAGCAATTGCGATATTAAAATGAAATAACTCAATCTAAGATACCTTGAAATACTATCTTCTACTAATGACTAGATAGGAATTAGGAAATGCTAAATCATGACAATTGTAGTTTCAAATAAAGACACACACACACACACACACACACACACACACACACACACACACAC